GAAAAAGTTTCTTATTCCTCATGTCCCCTCCTTCAGGTTCACAGAGTTCAAACCTTCATGTCCTCACACCTTTATTTCCTCACACCTTCATGTCCTCACACCTTCATGTCCTCCACCTTCATGTCCTCACACCTTCATGTCCTCACCCTGTGGACAGAGAGCTGTGGTGAAGTCTTGTTTACTGGTTAAAAAGTGAAGAAAATGTTAAAATTTGAAATTTTTAAACCAAATTGAAACTTTAATCATATAAAATCATAATGATTCACTGAAGGACAAAACTAGAAAATGCCCTCAACTAAACCTGACAACACACACACACACACACACACACACACACACACACACACACACACAATCAATTTAGCTTATGTCTGCAAGACAGGACGAGGGTATGTTGGTTCATAAAGAGGTTACTTTTATAGCCTTGGAGTTTGTGTGTGTGTGTGTGTGTGTGTGCTTGTGGAGTTGACAGATTTAAGACGGCATCAATTTAAACTGTGCACACACACAGAAACACACACAGACACACACGTGGTCCTGAGTGACAGCGGTTGTTGCTGCTCAGCGAGGATCAGAGTGTTTGTGTCAGGATCATAAATCCAAACACTGACGTCAGCTCCTCTGCAGCTGAAGGTGAAAACAAACTGGTCTTCACACTTTAAACACAGAATTTGAAAGTTTGTTTTGTTCTTGTTGATCGAAGTGAGATTCTAGTCAATCAATTAATATGGTGGAGGCAGCGTTTAAGATCTACCACCACCAGGGGGCAATGCGGGTGAGTTGGCTTCACTTCAGAGGAGCTGTAATGTCCATCTTTAGTGACATGAATTATATCATTTGGCACCAGGGGGCAGTGACTCCTATAAACACAATATCTAAACTAAAATAAATAAAATTACAATATTGCTTAATTTTTTTCGTTTAGGTGGAATGAATAAATACTGGAGAAGACAAATTTAAAACCATCATTTACACGAGGCTCTGATCAGGGACCATATGTTACTCTGAACTTTAAATAGAGCAGCAGCTTCAGATATTTTTAAGCGAGTGTGTTTTTGGCCGTGACTCTGGACTGGCGCCGTTTTACCTCGGCTGTGATGAATAGTCTGGAGGACGCGACGCTGCCAACTGGAGGACGCCCAGATGGAGAGCGGCCGAGAGACACCACTCCAGTTTATGGTCGTCATTCAAATGTCTCAGTAGAGACAGACGTCACAGAAAGACGTTCAGAAGTAAATCAGGAACCGTTCATGTTCACATGTGAGACCAAACCAGCGCTGCACCAACAAGCTAAAGTCTAAATTAGACAGTTTGAGTAAAGAGCAGTTCAGCAGAATTCTTCCCAGCTGCATTTTCAAACCGGCCTTCGAAAAATAGCAAACACTGGACCTCATGAAAGCAAATAAACAAAGTGAGGTTTCTGTGTGGTCAGCCAGAATCTTTAAATAGACTGAGAAGACATATGTTGAACGTGCAGGGGCAGGTGCAGGCGCTGAGGAGACCCAGAGGGAGGAGCCTCCCAACAAGCCTCAACCTGCATCC